CCAAGCTAGCTGGGGCTGGGGCCGAATCGAGCTTTCAAGAGGACAGTCTTCTGCCAGCTTCCATGATCGAACAAATGCGCAAATCCCCAGGTACATGATGGCTGGTCTTTTCGAGGGTACCTCTGTTTGCTTAGTGTTAAAGGGAACTAAAGCAGGCCCCAAAGCAGGCAAAAACCCTTGCGCGTGAAGCATCCCTAGCAGCTCAATTGTTGCAACCACGACGTCACACCATGCTGAACTCTGAACGCTCGGCCCAAATCGATCGAATCTCTGTAGCCACGCCACGGTGTACGGCCTCGCAAGGTCGGGGAGGGAAAAAACCCGAATCGAAAGGAAGCCCAAGGAACCGTGAGGAAAAAGGACTCAGCTCCAGGATTTCCACCTCTTGTGTAACAGGTTCACATGTCCACCATTGCTCTTTCAGGGTTTCTTGTGTGTCCTGCATTACCCCACCAAACAAAAACTAATCTGAACATGTCCAAACTGGCAAAGAAGCTCCGGTCATGAATATTTTTCTTAGTTGTCCCGTTAAATTTGGATAAGCCCTATGTGTCCGAAGTCAACATCAGGCCAAAATGCCAACATGGGTGCGTCTTTTTTGGAGGGTGCGTCTTTGTTTTTGGGGAGGTGTTCACGGGATATTTAAAGGGGCAACCATTTTTTGGGTTCTGCCCCAAACAAAGACACACCCATATTGTCAGTTCCTCTGTTGTTGCTCATGAAGCGCCCTCCTGCAGTAAGCTCCCGGCCAGCTTTAGGAGCAACTCCACCGCGTAGAAGCAGCCAAAGCCCAACTCTATCCTGAGACTAGACGTCTTTTTTGGCCGTTTTGCCCGCTTTTTGAGATCAGCTTATATGGGGATTGATTAACAATCCGTTCGACCCCAAACTGACCGTGGGGAACTTTTCCCATGTGGTGAAAGTCATCATTTTGTGTGGTTTCCCTCATGGTCACCCCATGTAAAGGACCTTTTGATCAACCCCCATATAGCATGCCTGCAAAATATCTTGGGGACTGTGGACCCAGTTTTTCAATTGGACCGCAAAGGACAACGCCTTCTACTGCATGGGACAAACTTGGATTCAACCAAGGCCATGAGTCCCTTCAAAGAGATGGTTGGCCCAGTCCTGTTTCAGGGAGAATTGCCAGTCCCCATGTTGCCCACTCTGAACCAAACTTGCAGCCAAAGTAAGACCTTTTTATGGACACCCAACTAGTGCTTGAGACAGGTTCAAACAAACCCGAGGAAAAGCGGCGGGGTTCGCTGAGCCCGGGGTCCACCAGAAACAACCGTAATCGACCCCCACACGTTGAAGTGGGAGGGTAGGGGGTAGGCTCCTTGACGCTCGCAAAGGAACCCTCGGAAGATCCTGGTCCATTTTCCAGTTCCCAGAGTCAGCTTCCGTTCAACTCCACAAGCAATCCAAATCACCAATTGAGGGGAACCTGGCCTTGGGTTCAAAGAAAACCTTTGAGCCACTTGGGCGATGGATCGGTCCCCGTTTTGAGCTGCCATTTGAGCGGTAGTCGCCAAGTGCAAGCAAGCAACATCATCAGCACGTACGGTGTGGGTGCACCTGCACCGGAAATCGAGCGGACCGATTTGACAGGGTCACCAGCAAAGAAGAGTAGTTACCATCAAACCGAGGGACAAATCCGGCCAACAAATGGGCATAAGTGGACATGTTACCTCCCGACCGGATTCATGAGCTTCCTAAAGCGGTCAGGGAGCATGCCCAATTGCAGAAGGTCGGCTGACAAAATTCACATTATCTCGCCAACATAATCATCGCAAACCAACACGGCTATTAGACAAATGGGAGTTGAAAGAGTCTACCCAAAAGCAAAAGGCAGCAGCACCCGTTCATGGTTTCGACTGTTCCCCACAAACCTTCATGTGTTGATCTTCGCGCGGTCACCCGCACCTGGGTTCTTCATCTCGTGGTCTGACCTCGGCGCACAGTGCATGAGCCCTCTGAGCATTTGCCTCTTCATTCCTCCTCTATTGGCTCGATATGGCTGTGGGTCAAAAATGGGTACCCAAAATAGAACCCTGGTAAATGCAAACCCGGACTAGAATTTGCGGTCCCCTGGTGGTTTGATTTTGACCCATTCCCATATGTCGGCGTCCCCAGAAGGGCTGGTCCTTACACAGGGCGACTGGTGTTGCCGCCAGGCCGCATGTATGAGATGATGATGGCATTGAGAAGAATGACCTCAGCGAGCTTCTTATCCAAGCGCAAAGAGATTGTCAAAGGACAGTTTCCACTGCCCCCAAATCACTAACCCAAGGACCCATGGGGACAATCGGAGTTGTGCACTGGCTATGTGATTCCGTAAACCATGTTCTGTGCGTGGGAAAACCCTTTTAAAACCCCTGGCAGCTAAGCAACAGAACTTAGAAGGGGACCTCACACAAGAGCGCGATCAGGGACTGCAACAGAGGTCTTTCTGTTGCGCGAAGTACTGTCCAAATGGGATTAAACAAATGCGCGCGTAATAAAGACAAATTGGGGCCCCAAAAAGATTAATAAATGCACCTGGATTAAAGACAAGCACCCGCCACCCGCGCAAAACATAAATAATCCCCCCAAAAAAAGAAAAGAAAGAGAGAGAAAGGAGAGGAAAGATAGCCAAGCCAACACCTGGTCCTTGGATCTTTGGTACCTTGTTCCTTCCAAAACTGTCAGCTTTATCAAACCCATGTTTTCCTTCATGTCTCTTCTTTAAAACCTGCCCACAATCAATCCCAGAAAGGGGGTAGTACTTCAGCCCCCAACTTAACATTATTTCAGGGGCCCCCGAAATAAAGTTTTGTTGCCTGGCCCCCTGAAAAATACAACCTGCCCAGCGCAATTGCCTCTTAACTAGTTAAGTAATTAGACAGCCTAGGTGAGGCTGGCAGTGCTTCATGCTGTGTTGTTAGATTCGGGCCTGCTCCTCAAATCCAAAATTGTCAGCTTTACCAAACCCATGTTGTCTTACATGTCTCTTGTTTAAAACCTGCAAACAATGAAACCCACAAAGGGGGTAGTACTTCAGCCCCCAACTTTACATCATTTCAGGGGCCCCCGACATAAAGTCTTGTTGCCTGGCCCCCCCAAGAAAAACAAAAGGAAGCTCCAGCAGTACTAAATCAAATGGAAACTCAAGTCTACCAATACTAAATCAAATGGAAACTCAGTTCCAAATCTCAAAAGGAAGCTCCAGCAATACTAAAAGAAATGGAAACTCAAGTCTACCAATACTAAATCAAATGGAAACTCAGTTTCAAATCTCAAAAGGAAGCTCCAGCAATACCAAATCAAATGGAAACCCAGTTCCAAATCTCAAAAAGGAAGCTCCAGCAATACTAAATGAAATGGAAACTCAAGTCCACCAATACTAAATCAAATGGAAACTCACTTCACCTGGATCTCAAGATACTATTCTAGATAACCCCATCGTTGAGGGGGGGGGGTGTCCCCCCTTTGCTAATCCCATTTGGACATTATGGATCGCGCGGAACATGCTGTGATTGCCTCCCGCATATGGGCACAACGACGGCATTATTTGCAGAGCAGCTTCTCCGTAGTGCTGTTTTGCTAGGGTTTGGCGCTGCAAAACTTCCTCTAAGTGTCCATGGGACGACCATGTGAAGCAGAGAGCAACAGTTAGACGCACATGGCTGCGTCAAATACCAATGGTTGGGCCCGTGTGTGGTCGATCTTGCAAAGAGAACCAACCACAAAATCAAACGGGAGTGTCATTACGGGGGCCATTTACAAGGGGAAAAACGTGGCCAAAACTGGCGTCCTTTGCGTAGCTGCCGGTGGGCACCCAATTTTTAGGAAACTCGCATGACGTACACTTGGGCTTGAGGCAAAGGGAAGCTGCCCGGAAAGGCGGGGGTCACCTATTTGAACCCATACCGGGTTCACAAACACAACTTGCAGCGCCCGGAATGAACATCGCACAAATGGTGAGTCCCAGTTACTTTCGTGGGATGATTCTTGGTGACTTCCAGAATCGCCATGCACTTTGTCCCGAACTTTTCACCAAAGCTCACAGAAGAAACCTGGCTAGGATTCTTCTTTGATCCCTTACTTTAGGTAGGGATTCATGTTGCTGTCCACTAAGGGAGCGGCAGACATGCAAAGCCCGCCGAACTGGTTGCTGCCGACCAGGTCCGCGAGGAAGCCACGGCGCTCGGGCTCCCTGGCACCCCCAATAACCGCAAGAAAAAAATTGCCCGGGAGCTTCTGACATCCAAAAGCTTCTGAAGGGTCTGAATTATTGAAGGGTGCTATTTGGTCTAGCATTGCCTCATTGTGCCACTATCGTTGACCTCTTGTTCTGTAAGGATAACCGTGCAAGTTGATGTGCGCTGATTGAACAACTTGCTCTTGTCTTCTTGAACTTGATGCTCTTGTGTACTTCGAGTTATTTGTATCGTGTAACTTACATGGAACCAAGAACAAATATGGCAACGGCATTGATGCATAAGCTCGAAGTAACAATAGTATTGTACTAAGGGTTTGATCAGCTTTTAACATCTATACTACTACTACTACTACTACTACTACTACTACTACTACTACTACTACTACTACTACTACTACTACTACTACTACCTTTACTGGCTACTAGCTACTAGCTACTAGCTACTAGCTACTAGCTACTTCTTGCTACTTGCTACTTGCTACTTGCTACTTGCTACTTGCTACGTGCTACGTGCTACGTGCTACGTGCTACGTGCTACTTGCTACTTGCTACTTGCTACTTGCTACCTGCTACTTGCTACTTGCTACTTGCTACTTGCTACTTGCTACTACCTACTACCTACTAGCTACCACCTACCACCTACCACCTACCACCTACTACCTACTACCTACTACCTACTACCTACTACCTACTACCTACTACCTACTAACTACTAACTACTAACTACTTACTACTAACTACTAACTACTCCTACTCCTACTCCTACTCCTACTCCTACTCCTACTCCTACTCCTGCTCCTGCTCCTGCTCCTCCTCTTCCTGCTGCTGCTGCTGCTACCACCATCACCACTACCACTACCACTACCACGACCACGACCGCGACCGCGACCGTGACCTCGACTACGACTAAGACTACGACTACTACATTCTCCGTAGTTTTGTCCACGTGTAGAAGTGAACCCAAACAATGCCATCGTGCCATCATCGTTGTTCTGTTTGTGCAAGTTCCATGATCCAAAATTACTGTGTTTATTGACGCCTCCTGAGATTGTTTGTCTCACTCTTGTGCCGTTTCAACCAACACTCACATGTTTGGGTACATGTTGAACAACCAGGGCAGACACCTCCTTTCTTTCTCAGCTGACATCATACCCTCGAGTAGTTGCTTTTTCCCCCTGATGTTGGAGGCACATGCTGTTGACACCCCTTCCTTCTTCTGGCCATGGAAACATATTTGTATATATTTGTCCTGTTCCGGTCTGGGCAGCGCCTGACATGTTCCACGAGTTCGATGGCGTTGGCCAGGTGGAAGAAGAAGCGCCCGGTCTTGGAGCTGCTCGCCAGTTCCCTGAGCTTCGGAGCTCCGGTTTCTGGGGCCGGGAAGCGGCCGGGAGAAAAGTGAACCGGGCGGGGAAAGAAGCCGAGGAAACAAAACAGGAGCTCGGGCAAAACAACCAGGAGCCTCATTGCTCGAGCATTGCTACCACCACCACCTTTCTTTTGGGTGGAACATTGACAATTGCCAATGCTTCCACGGCGTTTCAGGCCCTTTAAAATGTTATAACGACTGTCGTAACACTCTCCTTTCGGTTCCCCTGGACCAAGCGGCTGCTGGGTTAAACAAAGCATGCACAATCCTGGTTTTCACCTCCAAACAGCTACTCCCAGTGGAAAACGGGGAAGGACTCATTTATACACCTGGACCTTCTGTGTCCGCTTCCTTTCACAGCTTTTCCATTCATTATCCTTTTTTCTCACCCACCGAGGAAAGGACTGAGCTAACTGGGTGTCTGTGGGCAGTGCGTCGGGGGCTTTGAAAGCTTCTTCGACTTGCAAAGTGATTGATTGTGACGGATTTGTCATCTATGGCACTCCAATCAAAGGCTGTATATCTGTGAAAAGCACGGGCAAAAAGTTTGGCCTTCCAGGCGAATTTGCAGATTTCACCGACTTGACGGAAAACCATGGGTTTCTGTGGAGATATTTAACACGGCACCCTGCCGCCGGTGGTGCTGTTGCTCCCTTTCGGACAAGCTTTGCACACCAAGCCTCCATTTGCGGATACGTCCCCTGCAAAAAGTAAATGTATATTGCCAGCGGTGATGGATTCCCTTGAAAACCATGGAAACTGCAGAAGGCGAGATTTTTTTTCTTCGGGACAACCAACTGTGTAGGCCGCTGCTCATAGTATGTTGTGCACATGTTTTGGCACCAGGTTCCATAAGGAATGGCCGAGCAGACGTACATGTGTCATATTTTGCCACACTGTCGTTCAACAGATTGCCCAAAGCACAAAGTAGACAGGGAGGGCGCAGACCTCAGCTTTTCGCACCATCAACATTCCAGCAAAAAGAAGACGGAAACTACACAATATTGATATACGATGTATATGTATATATATATATATATACATATATATATATATTATAACAGTGTTTCTTTATTGATCTACTCATTTATTTACGCATTCATGAATCTCACCAATTGCTCATTGAATTATTCAATTTGTTGGGCACCTTCCATTCAGCGCTTTGATCCATCTGCAAGATCGAAGTCTTCTGACTAAGACCTTCAGCCATGGAACAGGCTGTCACTTTGGATTCCCTTGGGTTCACAAGTGGCAACCTAGAGCCAGCCAACATTCCGCAGCCAGAACCACTATAAGCAAAAAAGCAAGAGGCGCAAACAAGATGCAACATGTATAGAAGGTGGGCAGGGCTCCAAACATGTCCAAACCTCAAAGGCTAGGAAACTTGGTTGACGTTGGAAGGGGAGCAAAACAAAAAAAGCAGTTAAGTGGGGATTTCCCACTAAACCACAACAAGCAAAAATGTAAAATGTTTCCCAACAACCATCCTCCTGGCCCCTTTTCGGTGGGTGAAATTGTTTTGCGCCCTGGCCTCGACAAGCGGGCCAGCGTTCGAACGCGCGGCGACGCCGCGGTGGCGAGTCCTGGAGTTTGGAGACACTTGTGGGTCAAAATCCCGGTTAGCCCCCAGTGAACATCCGATTCAATCCAACCACTAAAATAGGCTCTAAAATGGGTGGTGAATTCACCCAAAAAACCCAAAATGGGATCCCGAACCGGTTTTGACCACAGCCACTTCTCAACATGGAATCAGCCAGAACCCTGGAAGCCAAGCCCCCACAGCCCTGGAAGCCAAGAATGGTCCATTTTAGTCTTTCGGGGTGGGGCCCGGTCCCTTCGGAGGGTTGTGAATGAAAAGGAAAACCCCCTGGTAAGTTCCATGTTGGACCAGGTCTTGCTGACCCCTAGAAGCCCTGGTTGAATTTGATGTGTCCCCGGGTGTCCGGGTCCAGACCATTTGAGGGACCACCTAGGGGTCAACAGAGGGAAACCCAAGGGACCACCCACAAAAGGGTTGAGACACACCGAAGCTGCTTCGTCTTTTCCATGGTTTCCTGAAGCTGCTTCGTCTTTTCCATGGTTTCCTGAGATGTGGTTTGTTTCAGCTGGTTTCAGATTAGAATATTTTGACATGCGATGAACTTTGGGGCCTTTTTAGTACCATCTTTACACTGCCGGCACAACAGGACAGTGCTGTGGCCTTGATGTACAATCCCCATCTCAAGTCCTACAAAAGGCCTGTACTGCGCACGCTATGTTTGACTGCTGCTACATGATCAGTTCCAAGAAACACGCACAATGTCGGGGAATCGCTCAAAAAGGGAGCGCCCCATTCGGGCACGACACAGTGCTATTGCGTGAAGTGGCGAATTCGGTACCCCGAAAGGGTCACCTTGTCAAGCCTCGTGTCAGCTCTGTCTATCCCCGTGATCGACATGGCCCTTCCTGCAATCTCGAAGGTGACTGATCCTTCTGATTCCTCGCCCGTCACAAACCTGGCGAGCTGACCGAAACGGAAGGCCAGCCACACAGCCATACTGCCACACAGGCACACAGGCACACAGGCACACACAGACACACAGACACACAGACACACAGACACACAGACACACAGACACACAGACACACAGACACACAGAGACACAGAGACACAGACACACAGACACACAGACACACAGACACACAGACACACAGACACACAGACACACAGACACACAGACACACAGACACACAGACACACAGACACACAGACACACAGACACACAGACACACAGACACACAGACACACAGACACACAGACACACAGACACACACACAGACACACAGACACACAGACACACAGACACACAGACACACAGACACACAGACACACAGACACACAGACACACAGACACACAGACACACAGACACAGACACAGACACAGACACAGACACAGACACAGACACAGACACAGACACAGACACAGACACAGACACAGACAGACACAGACACAGACACAGACACAGACACAGACACAGACACAGACACAGACACAGACACAGACACAGACACAGACACAGACACAGACACAGACACAGACACAGACACAGACACAGACACAGACACAGACACAGACACAGACACAGACACAGACACAGACACAGACACAGACACAGACACAGACACAGACACAGACACAGACACAGACACAGACACAGACACAGACACAGAGACACAGACACAGACACAGACACAGACACAGACACAGACACAGACACAGACACAGACACAGACACAGACACAGACACAGACACAGACACAGACACAGACACAGACACAGACACAGACACAGACACAGACACAGACACAGACACAGACACAGACACAGACACAGACACAGACACAGACACAGACACAGACACAGACACAGACACAGACACAGACACAGACACAGACACAGACACAGACACAGACACAGACACAGACACAGACACAGACACAGACACAGACACAGACACAGACACACACACACACACACACACACACACACACACACACACACACACACCACACACACACCACACCACACACCACACACACACACACACACACACCACACACACACCACACACACACACACACACACACACACCCACCCACACCCACACACACACACCACACACACACACACACCACACACCACACACACACACACACACACACACACACACACACACACCACACACACCACACCACACACACCCACACGCACGCACGCACGCACGCACACGCACGCACGCACGCACGCACGCACGCACGCACGCACGCACGCACGCACGCACGCACGCACGCACGCACGCACGCACGCACGCACGCACGCACGCACGCACGCACGCACGCACGCACGCACGCACGCACCCACACACACACACACAAACACCCACACACCCACACACCCACACGCACAAACAGCACTGACTTTGTTGACATCTCTTGACTCACCGTACGTTCCGCCACACCTCCGACTCCACTTGAGAACTTTCTCGCGCCTCTGCCCGAAGAATGGAGAGCTGCGCATCTAAGACGGCCGAGGTGCAAGGGAAAGAGTGGACCCAACAACTTCGGCTGACTTGAAACTCACCCAAAAGACATGGGTTCTTGTCAGAAAGGGCAAGCAAGCGAAACACTCGAGTAAAGAAACTTTTGGCAGACTGCCCGGTTGGATGAGTTTCCCTTTTGAGAATCTTGCCCTAGACACTCTGAAATAGGAGGACACAAAACTGGTTGCCTGTTCTTCCCAACCCTGGGTATGTCAGCAATCATGCACTTTTTTGCAGCCTCAAACTCAAAATTGGCAGAATCAATTAAGCAAACTCCGACACATACCACACGGTTCCTCAAAAGTCGCCTTTTCAGCAACGCCCCAACAAAAGGACGCTCATTCCAAAATGGCCCAAAGGGAGATGACTCAAAAAGGGAACTCCCCTGTACGTTGGGTGTGTTGAGTCTCGGGTTAACATGAAACCCAACAAATCACACCTTTAGAGCTTTTGGGGAAAATATTTCTTTGAGGGTGCCACGTAATTGGGCAGTAATTAGAGCAGCCAAGGCGCTGTGGACTTCTTGGTGACCACCCGCTGGCAGGCTGTTTCCGAACCTGCGAGCGAAGAGACGACACCCGCCTCGTTCTGCGGGGTGATCCTTCGCTTTGGGAATTCATCCCACTTTTCTTCGGGCTGTGAGTGTGCCTTTTTGGAGGTTGATCCCATGCCCATTGTTTTGTTTACGGTTCTTTGAAGAAACAAAGAACATATCCTGGCTTTCTGGCCCGCCTTTGCAGCGGGTCAGTCCCAAAAACGCGAAGGAGAAGGAGAACTCCAGCCAACATGTTCGCGAAGGACCACATTTGCCCAGCCGGCTCGAAAGCTTTTTGTCAAAGAAAGAAAACAAAGGCCATGTCAACGAGTGGCATTCGGACGGATAGCCATTAAGGCCAGAAACCGGTGGTTTGTTGCGGACTCATGGAGTAATTTCCTGGAAACTGAGGCAATTCTGCATTTTTTGCCGGAAGACCAATGTGCTTTGGTCCACTGCTTGGCTTGCAGCTCCTCTTGGTTCACAGCGGCTTGGCGCTGACATAAAAGATCTGAACGCCAGGCTCGGGCCACAACGACACCTTTCTGCGCCTTCAAGCATATCACGCCATGCTCAAACAATCGTTGTTCCTGATCTCCCTTTGCTGTTCCCTCCCACCCCCCCGTACCCAGCCCGATATTGCTTTCCATCCATCCTCGCCCAGCGCTTGGCTGTCTCCTGCGGGGCCCCCTGGCTGTCGCGACGCGCCTTTCTTGGCGATGGGCAGCAGGAGGGGCTCGTCTTTGGGAAGGTCCTCGTCAGCGCGGTTGAAACCACCGAACCCCTGGCCACCAACAAAAAACAAACGGTCGCTTCAAGAGTAGTGGTTGAACAATATGTGTCTCCAAATTGGGGACCCGCAACAAAGGCGGGGCTTTCCTTTCGGATTCCCTTTCAAACCCCAGGAAGGGCATCACAGCCAGAATGGTCCTGGTCCCCTGCAGGAACCTCCAAGGCCTCAGTCGGACCGACGGATTCCGTGAGCCGAGAGAAAGTCATGGGAACCCCTCGCTTGAAAGGAGTTCCGTCAAGTATGGGTGGTTTAAGGAAACCAAAAGGAAACCACTCCCCTCCCCTAGTCGGGGGACCATTTTGCGACAAACCCATCTCCCGGATTTTGTGTAGAACCCCTGGTTGATTTTGATTTGCCCATTTTTGAACAGGGAATCTGGATTGCTTTTGTGACAGCCCCCTAGGAGGATGGGTTTGTTCATCCGGGGTTGCCAGGATTCAGCTGAAAAATCTGGGAAGCTGGTATTCTTTTTGCGGGAGTCCATAAGAAACCAGTCATGCTTAAATTCCTCTTGTTTGGCACAGACCCAAATTGGTGGTTTCCCTTTGTTGGAAGTTGCAAGCAGGCCCCCTCCCCCCTCCCCATATATGACTTAGGTGGTGGATATTTGTGCTGCAGGTTTTGGTTGGCAAGTGTGTCAACGTAGGGATGCTTTCGTAATGGTGTGCTGCTGTCCTATGGACCTAGGGCTCCCATCCGGACCGACTTTGAGGTTCTCCCCGATGTTTCTTCACGGAGAGCCAACGAGTTGGACCCATCCCGGACTTTTGGTGCAAAATGAGGGGAAAGCCGAATGTATGACCCAAAACAATTGGAATTCCAGGTCCTACTTTCTTGGTCGAAGTCTTGGTGAGCGTCGTTCTTGTTGCTGCGGTTGTGTACAGCATGCGGAGGTGACAATAACGTTGAACCTGTTTTGACGTTCCCCTGAAAGGCAACCGTTATAAAAGTAACATGTTATTAGTTGTTTGGCCCTTGCCACGCTTAAACGTTCCAGGGGGTTGTTTGTGATGGCAAAATAACAGTCCCTTGCGAACTCCAGCTAGATGGCGATGCGAGGAGGATGGTCGCTTCCGCGCATCATATTCGCGAATCTTCACGGACCGTGCGCAAAACTTTGGTGGCCTCTGAGCAAACGAGTAACTATAGCTGATACAGCAGGTCCCGCAATTTCTTGTGAACCTCACTGACAACATCTGGGCAGGCCCATGGACGATGTCACATGACTCTGACAGGGGTTCACCCATAAACAAGGGATTAGTACCAAGGGTTCCACACCTTTACAAACCCCTGCATTCCCCAAAAATGTTCCTGTCCCGTTTCGCCCACTAACTTCCAGTTGAGAGCATAGCCTCTGCCGACGCTTGACATGGCTGTGGGTCAAAAATAGGTACCCCAAATGGAACCCTAGTAAGTAGAAACATGGACCAAAACCTGCGGTCTCCTGCTGGTTTAATTTTGACCCATACCCACATATGCAGGTCATGTCAATCAACAGGCAAGCGCATGGAATATCGCTCGCACCAAGGAATTGGCGTTTTGCAGCCCAGTTCACCTTACAAATCCGCTTCAGGAAAGAGATTCATTCCTTCATTTGAGGGCTTCTTGAATTTCCCTGCAGTGCAACCTTGAAAGCAGGGCAAAAACTTGGGCCTTGCTCAGCCAAGGGGAAAACACCCGTGGTTGAGTCTAGAGAGAAACCCACCCAATATGGTGTTGTGCTTTTGAGGGTTCCCTTCTTAAGGCTGGTGTAAAGGGTTTCTCAAAAAAACACAAAGACCATTGAGTCGGTCTGATTCTTATTTTGACGCATACCCAACTTGTTTTTCGGGTGCCCTTGGGGAAAGGCTTGGAGCACACAAATCAGGTCGAGGAGCTGTGGACTGCGCTTTGCACTCAGGTCGATCGCAAAGTGGTTGGACCTGGGTTTAGCACAGGAGACCTGGTCAAACATTGACATGAAGGAAGGAGGCACGACAGTTTGCTCTTTTCCAGTTGCCAATGTTCGTTGGAGTTTCCCAAACTTGAGGGCCCTCGAATCGTAGAGGTGGGTTTCTAAATGTTTTATTGAAAGAATATTCAGAGTATTAGTTTTCGCTGGCCCCGAACCGCTTTTGCAGGCGGATGGATGCTGGTTTTGGGCTTTCCCCTGATTCGTTTCTGGTGGTCATTTGGTTGGGTATTCGTATCCTAAGCAACAAATCTTGAAATCTCAACGTGATGGTGGCCGTACATCAATTTTGTCCCCCTTAAAGTTGTTATAAGAACAAAATAGACATGAGAAACTAACAATTACTTCGCTTCGATCAATCCCACCCTCCACACTCACGAGCTACCGACCGTTACAACAAATTCCTCCGCATCCTAGAGACTCGAGAACTCAAACATCGGTTCCGTTAACCAAAGCCAAGCCCCTTCCAAAAAGAAGCCCGACGGTGGATTAAACGAAGTTGCTTATTCACAACCCAAAGCGACACAAAAGCGTCACCCTTTCCGAGCCTCAGGGTACACTCAAAACACGAGGCACCAAAATGAAATGTAACGCCGGGCGGGACATTAAGCAAAACTAGACTGGCGAGCTGCTCTGGCGGGATACTGGCGGGATCCGCTGGCGAATGCTGGCGAGCTGCTCCGGCTCGATGCTGGCCGGATACTCGGCACAGCAGGATCCACCGGCAAGGGATACTCAGCGGGATACTCTGCGGGATCCACTGGCGGGCGAGCCGCTCTGGCGGGATACTCGGCGGGATCCACTGGCGAGCTGCTCTGGCGGGATACTGGGTAGGGGCGTGGTGTAGAAGCATCGCAAACGCGGATTCCAACATAAAATGTAACCTCGGGTGGGGAGCAAAAAAGATGGGAAAAAAAACACATGTTGTTTGACCCAGCCGGTGTTCAGGCCCATTCTTAATGCATAAATTCCCAACTAAAAGGGGGCTTCCCAATCTTGATTGGCACGCTCCTTGTGATTGATGACGAGCTGACATGACCTTGTCCATTGAGTATATACTGCCTTACAAGCATATATTGGTGGCACAGGGGCCTTCATATCTCCAAGTCTTATAATTACATGAAAGCCGGAAGCCAACCATTTCACGCTTTTTCTGTTTGGAGACCAGCCCATTAAGAGCCAACCCATGATGTGCCACTAAACCTCGCCTGTAAATAACCTACACCAAATGGTGTGTTTCCCGAAATGGATATTGCTCAAGTTCCCCCGATTGTCCACCAAGCTGGGAGGGGGCGTGCGTTTCCCAAAAACCCTCAACTGGGCGGTCCGTTTTCTGATCCCCTGCCAAAAGTTGAACTGGGTTGAATGGAAACCGAGACTAAACCCTAAATTCATGGGGGCCGGGGGGGAGGGAGGGGAGGGGGGAGGGAGCCCAAATAAGCCCTTATTTCGGCCTTATTTAGGGCTTATTTGCCCCTCCCTCCCCCCCAGCCCCCATAATAAAAGTCTAAAAAGCTAAGGAACCGGATGGGAACAGCCCAGCGAAATCTCGCATTCTCTCTCTGGGGAAAAGGCTTCCGCACTCTGTAGGCATGAGCTCATCATCGCCGCATCCGTGTCGCTGGCGTCTGGCCCGTCCTCCTCCTCTGTCTCCTCCAAATGTCAACTGGGCCTCCATACAGTATGTATAGTAACCATGTGTATAGTACGTAGTAGGTACACAGGCCTCCTATATGCCCCGATACATGTTTTGAAGATGGGCAAAAGGAGCATCTGGGTTGACTGCCGTGAACGGCTAGGGGGTGCACGCGAAGAGTCTGTCAACTTTCTATGGACCTGCTGACATGTCAAAACCAAATCGGCAAGTTGCCCTGTTCAAATGAGAGACAGACACAAACAGCCAACTGAGAAAGAAATCCTTGCAAGGGGCTGACAATGGTATCTGAGTTCAATGACTTGTTGGATCCCTTTTAGGACCACAACTTGTCACAGCATTCAAAGAGTGGGCAACAAAGGACAAACTTCTTTAGTTTAGTTTCGAACAGAAGAACAAAAGATGCCAATGGAC